CTGTTGGACAAGAGATAGAACACGATTCAGTGCTGGAAGAGGATCATAGAGGAGTATTTGGGCGCGAATAGCATCAAAGGAGTCATGTAATCCTATAAGGAATTGCATAACCCTGCTTCTGTGATTATATTCCATCAAGGTCTTGACTGCGCCACATGAACATGACGGCATTGGTTCATAAATCTCCAGTTCATCCCAGAAACTTTTCAATCGGTTGTAATACTGGCTAACCGAATCATCATCCTGTGTAAGTGCCGAGATGGACTTGGTGAGCTGAAAAATTCTTGGAGCATTTTGAATATAGAATCGCTCGCGAAGATCGTTCCAAACATCCTCAGCAGTTTCGGCATGAGTTATGCTTATTCTATGTTCTAAGGCAACCGAATGTTGAATCCAAGCTATCACCATATCATTACATCGTTCCCAAGGTGCATACAAGGGATCTGCAGTTTTTGAGGGTTTAGGGATGGAGCCATTGACAAAACCCATTTTGTTTTTGATATTGAGAGCACGACGCATTGTTCTTGCCCAGACCACATAATTTTCAGTTGTAAGCAAATCTGGAACCAATGGAGAAGACGCGCTTTCACCAGGTTGGACAAAATAGGGGCTGGCAGGATTTTGTGCGTTGGTTTGGGAATTGGAAGGCATTGTGGGATGTTGGTTTAAGAGCTGAAAGGTGTATTTGTCATGGCTCTGATACCATGTTGAGAGTAGCGTGAAAACAGTGTAAAGAAAATGGAAACTGCAGAAAGCTGAAAATGGAATGACGTAAATTGTATTTCTTTTCTTCATGTTTTGTATATAGTGGCATGCAGATATTTATAGATAAAAAAAGAATAACAATAGCTAGCAAACATATAACAGATAAAGGAATAATAACAGCTGGCAAATATATAACAAATTGGACTCAACAAATGCAACAGAATGGCCTCATCGTCTTCACGTGACTGCTGCGTTTTTATCAGGTGGAACCGTGGCTATTGTAGGTCCAACTGCATCCTCTAATCTTAACAGAATAATATAAAATAAAATTAAAATAATGTCCTTTAAAAAAAAGAATTTTTTTTTTATGTCATTTCAGATCCTGCTGATCATGCACCATTACGACGACTGATGGCCGACGGTGGTGAATAACGGTCGGTGATGGTCTTGGGTGGCTAGGGGTATTTTGTTAACTTTTAAATTTTTTTTATGGCTAGGGTGTTTTAGCTAATTTCTCAAATATAAGAGGGGTTAGATAATGGTTATTTGGTAGACATTTGAGAGCAGTTATGTCTGAAATGGTTTTTAATTAAGTGCAAAATATGTATAAAAATCAAGATTACCTGATAATATTTTAATCCCAAGGGTGGGGGAGGGTATCCAATTACTCCCCACATTACCAACAGTAAACAAAATTTACAATAAAAGATTCTCGTAATATTTTATTACTTGAAAACCAAACATCATAATCTTATACAATAAACGAAGATTACTCCCGTTATCTTATATGCCTTCGATCCAAACGCACCCTTAAGTTGATAAATTTCTACTAAAATTTTGTGAACTCAACATGAATTTAAGTAGGGTCAAAATTATAAATATTATAAAATATAAAACCTTTTTTTTTTTTTTTTNTTTTTTTTTTCTTTTTTTGTCTTTTCTTTCTCTTCTTTGCTTCTTTCACTCCTTGAGGTTTATTTTAATCTTCATTTCTTAATACAACCAATACAACACTATTCTTAAGCGCAAATGAGTGAAAATCATTCTTCCCAAATCAATACTCAATAGCACTCATTTTCAAACAAAATCAATCCACTCATTTTCCTTTCCCAAAGCTAAATTATTTATTTTTCACTTTTTGTTCAACTTCTATGCAATCTTCATCTCAATACTGAACGAAATAGAGAAGCAACAGGAACAAAATAATAATAGTAAAACAAAACAAAACAGTAAACAAAGAAATTATACGCGCGATTTACCCTGGTTCACCCAATGTGGGCTATGTCCAGCTGAGTCAATATTATTGAAATATGCCTCACCTCTCTCGTTTACAATGAATGAATTGCTCTCACACTCATAACAAAAGAAAAGTATGTTTATATACTAGGTTTAAGAGATTAAACTTAGTTTTACATGGATTCCTATTCCTAAGCCCAACCCAAAAAGGAATTAATAACTTAAAAGAAATCCTACAGCGGTTATACATGGAAAAGCCCAAAACCGCCTACGGGCTCTGGGGCGCTGCCCCCGCGACCCCCTCCCGCTCACCGGGGAGCGGGACACCCGCCCGTTGACCGGTCAGCGAGACCCCCGAGTGCGTCTCCGTTACCCATTACTGCTGAAGTAGTCGACAACTCCAACAAATACTTTATTATAATCTCAAGTTTTGACTGTCCCGACCCATAAAGTAAAAAAAATCCCACCAAAATTTCTGGTGATTTTTCTCCTTTGGCTTTTTCTTTAAAAGGTTAGCAAATTTTAATAAACCTTCCTAACCTTACAACAAATTTCTTTTTATCTGAAAAAAATAAATTTATCTTTTTTTAAATCTCTTGAATTCGCTTTGCGACTTTGAGTCTGAAATTGATATATATATATATATATATCCGACTTGCTTCACGAGTCCTTAATTTAAAACTGAAAAACATAAAATAATGATCCGTAATCATCTAATTGCCCGCGAAGTCTAACTATTCGATATATTCATGAATATAAACTAATCTATGACCAACAAATAATATTTTATTTTGTTCATAAAATAATTAAAGGAATTATATGATTAAATTATTAAAGGGAACACTAAACTTGTAATCATTCAGCCACCGGCTTCATTGATTCAAATCAAATTTTTTTTTTTCTTTTACTTTCTCACAAATTTTCCGAGCAAATGAGATGAAAAACGAAAGGCATCAAATTCCAAAGTCAAGTCATTCAAAATTTCCCACTTCATTTTTCTAACGCCGACCAACCCAAATAAACATAAATCCATATATCTACAATAATTCAAAATCAGTTGGATAATATTATCAATTAAACAAGTCATTAAACACTAAAAGTAAGATTTCTAATTGCTCTCTATATCTAAAATTTATGAAACTATCACTCAAAATATGGCTATGAGAAACGTAGATATCCTGAGCGACGATATTAGAAACCCCAGGGTAGTTTATGAAAAGTCCATACAGCACTTCACGTTATGTAGGAGTTGGGACAGGCATGGCGAATCCTCCCCTGTTTCCCTCTGTTTTTCACTCTGCAAATTCCCCTGTTTCTCATGTTTTCGAGGCGGGACATTATGTTTTGTCGCCAATGGTATCACTGAAGGCTAGATCACCTTCTGACAATTTAATGTAGACACGTGTGGTTGACCTGAAGAATTTTGAACGTAAATACCCCACCTTATGGAAGATTTGGAAGAGCAATAATTTGGGTTTTATCTTTTTAAGAATTTTAGGAACCTGGTCTACCCCAAAACAAGGGACTGCCGGGGTCCCAAACTTAAGTAAGGAGCAAATAATTTTCAACCCCCTCAACTATAGTTTCATTGCTATAACCATGTAGTTTTAAAAATAGCTTTCAATCTTTGTCGTTAGTAAAATGCTGTGACCTTTCTTGATGTAGGGAAAATAGTGTTAAATTAGGATTTAATTAGGATTTAATTTTGTTTCCCCTTCTTTATTTAATTTTCTTATTTATTTAGGGTTCATATTAGGAATTCAAGTAGTTTTCTATTTTAATTAGGAGTTTAGTTGATTTAGGAAGTTTTAATTTAGTTAAATTTTATTTTCTTATTTTATAATTAGTCAACAATTAGATTTCTTGTTTTAATTAGTTTTTGTGTTTAAGTATGATTTCATTTCCCTATTTAATTAGAATCTTGTTAGGGTTGCCTTTAACCATCCTATATAAACATATTATTTGTTTCTTTTGAAGATATAGAATATTCAATAAATTATTCAGATTTTACTTTAGATTTTAAAAGCTTAAATTTCTGAATTGAAACTTGTTTATTAACCTTAAAGGTATAGTCGAGTGTTAGCCTTGTGTTATCACACTAACTCACTACATTATTTTTACAAGTCACATAAATTAGGGCTAGTTATGATATCAATAATATTAAGAAAATAAAGAAGTTAAACAAAGAAAAAGAATTTTTTTTTTTTAAGAATCTTTTCTTCCTTCACTCCTTTTGTCCTTCACTCCTCTAGGTCTGAAATTAATCTTTCATTTCTTCAATACAACACAACTTTTTTTACCCTAAATCAGTGAAAATTATCTTTCTCAAATCAGTATCACCCATTTACGAAAAGGAAACCAAAAAAAAAAAAAAAAAGCAATCCACTAATTTTCCATTTTCAAACAAATAATTAAAAAAAAAAAAAAGTGAAAACCATAACCCCCGACAAGGCCAGGTCCTCATCACACCTAGCACCTGATATATCAAAACGCTGGGACGACACGCTTGGCGCTCGGCATAGCGCAAGGCCAGAACGTTGTGCCTATTGCACGACTCAATGCAACACCAAGGTTTTGGCATTTCTTTCACTCTTGTTAGAGGTTTTCCCATTACTTTGGTTGGGTTCTAGTGACCCTTCGACACTTCTTTGACGTGGGTAAAGATTGGTGTTTTCAAGTGAAATTTGTATTTTGAGATGTCTAGATCCATAGGTTTTAAGATTTTAATATAATTTTTTGCTTAAACATAAAATTATATTAGATTATTTTATTGGAAATCAAGGGTAAAAAGGGTTGTAAGTCAGTTGACTGTGTCAGCTAACTGATCTAGGTAACTCTAACAAAAGGTTGGGGTTTAAGAGCTATTTCTGAAACAATAAAGTTTTATTGTGATGCCACCATAGTTCAGAGGTTTGACAGAATCTCTTTCGTAAGTCATGGGTTGAGTAGGCAAGGCATGTGTGCCGCGTTGAGCGTAGCTTTCCACCGTAGCCTGTGGTCCAGCTTGCCTTTAAAACAACCTGTGGCGTCTTCTTCAACACAGCCTGTGGCTTCTTCGTCAACACAGAAACGGTCTTTTTCCTCACCTTCTTCAACCTATGGCCTCTTATTCAGAATGGCCTGTGGCTTTTTCTTCAGAAGAGAGATCGATTAATCAATCACATGCGATTAGCGTAATGGAGCACGCTATAGACATAGAGAGCGAATCTTTTTCAATCACACCCATCTCCTCTTCTTCATCACAGCTTGTGGGTAAGTAGCTACTGAAGATTACAACTATTTTAATTGAAATTGGAAACTAAAGTTTTAATTGTTAAAGGGTATTTTTATCAACTGTTTCCTCGACGATCTTTCTACGCCAGACTTGCGACTACTTTGAAATAGACGTTAAATGTAATCTGCAGCTCTATGATAACTTTCAAGAACCAGTTGAATAGACAAAAAATGTTCTTGTAGTGATTAAATTTCCATAAGTAAAGATAACAATCAACCAATCAAAATTCCTGTTTGTTTCTTTTATTGCAGACGATCTCACAAGGTACCGGCCACTGTATAAAGCTATACTCGAAGGCAACTTGGAATTGATAAAAGAGTTCTGTGACTTGAATCCTGAAGCGGTACGCGTCAGGATCACGGTAAACTTGGACACAGCACTTCACGTAGCTGTTGGGAAAGAAGCGAATCATATTGTGAAATTTCTATTGTGTTTAATGTCAAAAGATGAAGTGGGACTCCAAAATAACGAGGGCAACACAGCCCTTTCGATTGCTGCAATTGTTGGCAATTTCCAAGCAGCCAAAATGATAATGGGCAGACATCCAGACTTGGTTGCAGTGGAAAACAACTCTGGCAGGATGCCGATTATTGAGGCTGCTCGACATGGCCAAAAGAAGATGATAAGATATTTACAGCAATTCACCCGAGATATTTTTCATTTTGACGAAAATGTGCATGCTTTCTCCTTCTTGAATTCGCTCATAGTTGCTGGACTTTACGGTGAGTTCATTTTTTCTATTGCTACTACTGTGATTACCAACCAGTTTTCAATCGGACTTTACGTCAGCACATTACTGTGCTCCAATAGACTTATTTTAACTTATTAGTACATTTTGTGATAGAATTCTGTTTTCATCTTTATGGTTTTAGTCTACAATCAGTCAAGGACACTCAGTTTCAAATAGTAGTTTTTTTGTCCTTTAATTGACTTTGAAAATTATAGTAATAGTACAATGAGAAAAATACCCCTCTAAAAATAAAGTATGACGCAATAGTGCCATTTGTGTAATGCATTTTTTTCATTACTTTATTAGAAAGGTACTTCGTACTAATTATTATTTTATTTGAAAGGTACTTTGTCATAATTCCTAAGTAAATTAATAATCAACTAATTGAATGTTGTGTCCAACTGCCCAAGGACCAAAATGTTAATACTTCTTAACCATATAATGAAAATGGAATTATCTCTATATTTAACAGTCTATTTTCATGTTAGAAATTCGAAATTAATTCTAAATTTTCGTCCATCGTATTGTCTCAGACATGGCACTGGACTTTGTCAAACAGTATCCAAGTTTAGCTATAAGGGAGTCATCTGATGGGGAGTCTCTTTTGAGTGCAATAGCAAGAAAACCTTCTGCATTTCCAAGCGGAAGAAAGCCAGACTTTTGGGAACGTTATCTTTGTTGTGGTGCGTACACAAATTTTTTTTTCATATATATATACATAAGCAGTGATATTGAGATGCAACAAGAAGTTGTAAATCAAGACAAGACAGTCAATCATATCGCAAATTCCACGATATTGCTTGCATCCCATGAAAAATTTTCAACTAAATTTTAAAATCATACACTTGTGTCATTGTTGAATTTATTTAATTTGCAGTTCGAAGTCGTACAGAGGAGATAGGAGAGACAAAGTTGATGAACCAGAGAGCAGTAAAACTTGTCGAACTCTTGTGCATGGAAATTACAAGAACACTAGACCACGAAAGAGCTTACTCTATACTAAAACGACCGTTCCTATTAGCAGCAGAATTGGGGGTTTGCGAAGTTGTTAAAGAGATTATAAAATCATTCCCTGATGCAGTCTGGTTTTCAAATGCTGACAATCATAATGCACTCCAGTTGGCAATCATGAACCGTAGAGAGAAGGTGTTCAACCTTATATTTCAAATGAGTGGTCACAAACATTTGTTATTGATGTCCCATGACAATGATGGGAATAATCTCTTGCACTTGGCTGGAAAATTGGCACCCGAAAATCAACTCAGTGTCATCAATGGTGCAGCCCTACAGATGCAGAGCGAGTTACGGTGGGTTCAGGTAAGCCTTCTGATTCAATCAACTCAGTGTCAGTAACATATTACGGGTGCATTTCTTACAAATGACTATTAGTGAGAGTCACAGGAGCGGAACCAGAAACATTATGAGAGGGCATTTTATTATTATTATTATTATTATTTTTTTTTTGAAGTATACATAAAAACATTATGATATAAAACAATTTCATTATAATGAAAATACTTGTCTAATATAATAATTTTTTATCATTTAAATGTATATTTAATTCTTGAAACGGGAGAGAAATGAGGATAGACTAGCAACATGATGAATTGAATTTTTTTTTAATCTTGTTGAGAAAATACATAAAGTTGTTCTTAATTTATTAATTTAGAAAAAATAAAATAAAAAAGAGTATACGTGATGAGTTCTAAATTTGAATTTGTTTGTTCTGAAGGAAAAATATTGACAAAATGACAGGGCAATTCGCCCTATTCAGATATTCACGATCAAGAAAAATAAGTATTGGATTCTTTACCAATAATGTCTCCATTTCTTATTTTCCTTTTTTTTTTTTTTTTTCCATTAATTGTGATTTTGATGATTTTTATCTCTATCAAAGGGTAAACATGTTGGAATATTAAAACCATTTATTAAGAAATTTTATAGAAATTTTGTAGAAATTTGTAGTGATTTCAGGATAAAAGGCCAAGAACGGTTTTAGAAGTGCAATCTTTCATACTCTGTAGTTCTGAAATTTATTTTACACAGGAAGTGGAGAAAATTATACAGCCTGCATATAGAGCGAGTAAAAATTCTAAAGGAGAAACTCCAGCAAAGGTATTTACAGAGGAACATAAGGAACTTGTTAAGAAAGGTGAGAAGTGGATGAAACAAGCAGCAACCGGATGCTCGTTAGCAACAACACTCGTTACCACAATTGTATTTGCAGCGGCAATCAGCGTGCCTGGTGGCAACGGAGATAATGGTAAACCAAAGTTTTCCCATGAGAAAAGCTTCATGATATTTGACATTTCGGATGCACTCTCTCTGCTGTCATCAATTGCCTCCATGATATTGTTCTTGTCGATCCTCATTACAGGCTATGCAGAAGATAAATTTCTTTATGTCCTGCCCAACAGATTAATATCAGGTCTCGTTTTATTGTTCGTCTCTGTAACATCGATGATGGTAGACTATGGTTCCATTATTTGTCTAGTGTTTTATGACAAAAAGGCACACTGGATACTTGTTTTTCTGGGTGCTTCGGTTTGTTCGCCTGTGTTTTTGTTTGTGTATTTGAAACTTCCCCTTCTGGTAGACTTAGTCTTTTATACATATGGCCCCGGCGTTTACCTCAAGTGAGGAAAAAAAAAAAAAAAAAAAAATTTGAAATTAAGAGTACTAGAGAAATTGTAAGCGCGATTATATAAGAAAATATTTTTATAACTGTAAATTTTGAAACGTTTCATCCATAAAGCATATTTTTATTCTTTGGATGTTCTTAAGGGTTTAAATAAAGGATTCTTTAACATATTTTGGCAATACTTTCTGCTATTTTAACAACAATGATGGACGCATTTAACCGATTTTTACTATGTATTATTTAATATAGTTGAGTGATTATATATAACAAATATGAAGAATGCTTGGGAAGAGAGGAGGAAATATAAATATAAGGGTGAATTTGGAAATATAAAATATGTACAAAACTTTGAACAAGATAAATTTAGAAATAAGACTTGATAATAGATAGTAGAAAATGTTAGAAAAAGGAACAAGATAAATTTAGAAATAAGACTTGATAATAGATAGTAGAAAATGTTAGAAAAAGAAAAAGGGCTCCTGTCCCAGTGAATTGATATCTGTTTCTGTACATAATTCATAGTAAACTTATTTATTAATTGGATGTTGATGGCTTCTCGTCAACAAAGTATTATAAATACTTGCCAGGATTCAGGAATTAAACACTCAGAAAACAGCAGTAATTCAAAATCAGCTTTCTCAAGGATGTCCTCTTCCTCATCACAGCTGATTATGGCCTCTTGTTCATCACAGCCTATGGGTAAGTTGAAATCACAAAAAGCTTTCAAGTAAAAGATAATTCTTGTTAAATTTCTTTGTATGTTTTATTGCCGACGATCTCACACGGTACATGCCACTGCATAAATCTATACTCGAAGGCAACTTGGAATCGGTAACCCGACTCCGTAATTCGGATGATCATGCTTTAGAAGCGAGGATCACCGCGAACTTGGACACAGCACTTCATGTAGCAGTTGGGACAGGCATGGCGAATCAAATTGTGGAGTATCTATTGAATAAGATGTCAAAAGATCAAGTGGCACTACAAAATAGGGACGGCAACACGGTCCTCTCTATCGCTGCTATTGTTGGCAATATCCAAGCAGCCGAATTGCTCGTGAAAAAAGATGTAAACTTAAATAAAGTTGCAAACAACAGTGGGTGGATACCTTTGATTGAGGCTGCTCAACATAAGAAAAAGGAAATGATTGAATATTTATTGTATTGAATACCTGATAAATGAGTGAAGTCGCCCAAATGGAGAAAGAGCTCAGTGTTGATAGAACCTGCGGCACAGAGATGCTGATTATTTTTCTTGTACTCAACAAGAAAATTAATCAACACTGCTGTGCCGCGGGTTCTTGCGCCATCCATCACTACAAAACAAAACAGATTCAGTTGTAGAAGCGGCAGAAATTATATATTGCTGCAGAAGCAGAATCGAATGGATTGGTTGGAAGATAAGAAAAGCATGATTGGCCGGTTGGTTGGAAAATAAAGAAAGCATATTTGTGTATTTGAAATTTCCCCTCCTGGTAGACTAAGTCTTTTATACATATGGCCCTGGCATTTCCCTCGAGTGAGAAATATTTATTTTTTAAAATTAGTGAGAAATTTTTATACTTGTAAATTTTGAAACATTTCATCCATAAACACATATTTTTATTCTTTGGATGTTTTAAGGGTTGAAACTTGAAATAAAGGATTCTTTAACAAATTGTGGCCATGCTATCTGCTATTTTAACAATAATAAACTTTTATGATTGATCAATAATAAACATGATGATTTGTGACTTAATTTTTTTTATTTCATTAGTGTTGATCTAATGTAAATAAATGGTTATATTATTAGATTAACAAAAATGATATATTTAACTTCTCTCTTATTATTATTAGATTAATAAAAATAAACGGTTCACGAAAAGAGTCAAAAAAATTAAATCATTGTATCGCAACCTAGTATAAATAGAATTATTTTTAATGTTTGTCCTAAATTAATAAAAAAATTGATTACATTGATATATTTTAAAAAATATGTTTTTTTTTTTACTTTTTAAATAGAATGTATAAAAAAATAATTAGAATTTTTATTGGCTAAGAAACAAGTAATTTTAATAGCGTGAAATTGAATAATAAAATTGTGGGATGAATGGAAAATTGAGAAGCTTTGATTGGTTAGACGATGAGGATGAAACCCCTGAAGGGTAAAACAGAGAATTCAAAGGAAAGAGAAAGAATAAGAAATGTATTGGTCCTAGTAGGGTATATAAGTGAAAGTCTCGAGCGGCCAGGACTTCTCCACCACTCTATTAACCAAAGTTTTGGCTGCTGTACTGCCACGTCACCATGCTGCCTAATTTTACTACAGACAGGATAATCCAATGGGGATCTTATCACTATCTAATTCTCAAATAGTAACTTTCCACGTGTCCTACACCATCACATTCTCCACTCCTCTTAAATATACTGATGTCTACCCTCCTTTTAGTTATTTCTCTCCTCATTCTTGGCCGCACAATTTCATTCCCCGAGACATGATATAAGAGCAAAAGTTCTTGTTATGTTTATGAAATAACAAAAGTCTTCTTAATGTTAATGATATGTTATATAACAAGATTAAGAAGAATTAACTTAAACACTCTCAATAATCAATATATGTATAAATAAACCCTAATAATAATACTAATAATTGTGAGTGTAGATGAGAGATAAGATTTGGATGAATTAAGATTTAAATTTCTTAGACAAGACAATCCATTCACATTGTAGTCAAATAAAAAAAAGTCTTAAAATCTTAAAATGTAGTGTAAAGAGGGAAGAAAAATTGATAATAATTTAAGACTAAAACTTGACCACATATTACAGAATAGAAGGCATAATTTTCAAACCCAAAATGTTATGTGGATAAGTTTAAGGCATAATAATAAGCACGATAATTTGACACAAGATAGTACTTGATTGCTTATTCTGTATACTATTTTTTGCTTCCCCTGTTCTCCTCTGTTTTTCACTTTGCACTTCCCCTGTTTCTCAATGTTTTCCTCAGCGGTTCTGCTCATTAATTGAAAACATTTCCTCTTTAATTAAACGATTCTGGTGTAATAAAAATTCATATATTTTATTATTTCCCTCCAAACAAACATACACAGAATAATTACAATAACAATACATGTATTTGTATTTCACAACCTCCTCCAATAGAATGGATAAAAATAATATAAGATTTTCAAGAGAGTCTAAAAGTTCAATAAAAAAATACTTTGACTTGTGTTGTGTTGATGCGTGATCGGTTATACCAACGCCTCGCATGTGTAATGTGCTAAGTTGTTCTTAGAAATTACACATGAATGATTACAAGAAGTAATCATATAATCGAATGCAAAGACTGAATAATAAATGAGAAATGATTTTTAAAGTGTTTCGGATGCTTAAAGCGATTCTACGTCACTGTTCTTTTATATATGAGAGATCAAAGAGGTCACATATAGCAAACAAAGAGCAGAATACAATAACTGAGTATTCAGAGAGAATATCAAACCAGTTCTTTTCGTAGGTTATCTTTACTCTGAAAAAGATTACAATTAGAATGAGGGTTCAAGATCAGGATTAGAATTAGAATCCCGAAAATGACGGGGGAGTCCTCTATTTATAGTAGTGGGATACAAGGTAATAATTATAAATCTGCAAATGGGTAGATGGTGCAAGTCCGTCCTTGCCTCCATTGGCTGATAACTTAGGAATTTCCTCAAATTATATGGGCTTGGACAGGTGTACGGTCTTAGTCACTCATAGACAAATCTGAATCTGCCAAGTGATGACAGTTATATTCGTTCTGTTTGGGGCGCCGTGGTAGCTCCAGACGATGCAAAGCCTTCTTCAACTTTGATTAGTGCTTGCTGATGTAAGCTTACGGAGCCCTGATTTTTTAGGCATAACATGTTGTAATGCAACCATCCTACAAAATAATAAATACAAAATAATATTTCGAAGGAGCTTAAAGATTAGTAAGAAAATCCCACGTTGTCAAGATCTTATATCAAATGTGATATTTTCCACAAACTGGTCTCTTGCTTTTTAAACTGCTTTTGACTTATGTAATTAATATATTTATTATCACTCAATCCTGTTATAAAATAGGTTGATATAGGAAAATTTTTGACTAAACAAATATTCAAGTAAGTCATGACAAATAAAATATTCACTAAGGGAATCTGAAAGGCTCGGCTCTGTGCCTATGTCTAACAATGATCACGTTTTGATATTTAAAGATTTTAGAATAAATTAAATAAATTAAACTAAAAAATATAGGAGAAAATAAAGTCTTGCTTCTCAATAGGATAAACTTTGTTTTTAATCCAATAATCCTTTGAGTAGATCATATACTATTCTCTAAACTCTAGAAATATGAGAAACGAGTATGTGCACCAATATCTATCATAAAATGCCCAAGCCATAATCCAAGGGTTGGCTTGGCAGCCATGAGGTTTGCTTTCGTCCTTCAGTTCATGGGTTCAAACCTGGGGCTACATACCACAATAATATTATGAGTTGCTTTGTCTTTTGAGCTTGTAGGTGTGTTAATAGATCCGGGGGATATAATATACCTTTACATACTTGAATATTTTCCAATAATTCTTGTTTTGAAAGGCCTGCTCCAATGTTGAGCCTAAGGCCAGGACCAATATCAGAGTTTTTGAAACACTAACGTAGTTTTGCATCATAGAACAATTTGTAATACCTCAACACAGTTGAGTTGGAGTAGGAGAGATCTCCAATTCATCTGCTGTGCGGGGCATCACTAAATAATCCAAATGTGTTATCTAAGACATATATGTATAGTGTATGTTGAAGAGCAAAATACAGTTTCAAGGAGGTGTTTTGAAGAAGAATCATCTTCATGTTATTGCTTATCATTCTGAGTTGTACAGTGTTTTATACTTACACAGTAACTCAACATAATTAACTCTTGTAACATCTAACTAGAGCTTATCTCACAGTAAACTGACTTCCAACTAACTCTATTGCATAAACTAACTTCCAACTAATTCTACTGTAGAATA